CGGCCTCGGAGCCGACGGCTGCGCTGGCGAGCACAGCAGCTGCTCTTCGCTCCGTGAGAGCGTGAGCCTGCCTACAGGGGAGGACACTGGCCGGGATAAGGGATGGGGAAACATGCTTTGAACTTTCAGCAGTATCCAAAATCAGCATTTTTTTTTTTTTTCCTGGGACTGGTCAAGTTTGTGCTGCTTTCGGGGTCTCTGCAGTAAAGAAAGCAGGGAATAAAATCTGGTAACAGTGCAACAGAGCAAAGCAGAAAGTTTGGATGAACAGTTGACATCTAATAGTGGACTTCCTCGATTACCTCATCTAAATATTGGGGCCATCTAATGCAGAGTTCTCTTAATTATAACACCTGGTGATTAATTGTTTGTGTCTTACTAGTATCTTTCTTGTGGGGAGAAACAAAAAACAGCCAACAAAGTTGAGTGGGAATTGCAGACAAGATGGAACTTTTGAATGAGTTTTGGGAAGCATATAATTATTGTCGAATTCTAGAGACCAGTGTGGGTTATCTGCCGTCAGAAAGGAGAAGAAAGAAATCCTGTAGTCTTGGATAGACAACTAGCAAAACTTATGTAATTTTGCAGATTATGCAGGTGTCCGAAGACTGAAAAATAAATCCCTTGCTAGTCAGCATGGCCTGAAGCCACTGAGGCCTTTACAGAGGCCAGGACTGTAGGTTTATCCTAGTATGTCAGAAACTGATATGGAAAAGGGTATCTGTTTTTGTTTTTTTTCCTCCTCTCTCCTTCTCAAATGCTACAAATTCAGGTCAGTTATACGCTCCTTATTTTAAAGCCAAGTACCGTGTCCCAGTTGCTGTCTACTGCGGGAGCGTCCCCGAAGTCAAGCCCAGATGCCGAGCGCTGCGAGGAGGAAGCATCGATTCCAACCTGCAGCTTTGTGGTAGCAGATGGACCACAGCAGAAGAAGGTGAGGGCAGAAGGGGGTTGACTATGCAACGGTGGCCTGAGCTGAAAGGAAAGCCTGTATGGAAGGAGACGTGGTCCTTGGAGGTCAGCCCTCATGTACTGGCCCTGTATCAGCGTAGGTAGCTGATGGAGAGCTGCAGGTGATCCTGCCCTCCTCCAGCAACACGCTTGGCATTGCATTTATCTACTTGCAGTTTATTACGCTTTATCTTTTGGTTGCTAGAGCACAGCAGTAGTCAGATGACTACTCCTGCCAGCCAAAACAGGGACTGTGGCCCAGCTGGCCATAAATCACGCATTGTAATGAGATGCTAATTCTGTCTATTTCTATCCTATGGATATTGATATGCGGTCTTGCCCTAGGTAAATTCCCCTATTCTTTCTCTGCTCACCCCCCAGATCTGACCCTTGAGGATGGGGTGTTGCTAGAGAAACCCCGGCAGCACTTGCCGGTTTGCTGAGGTGCCTCTCTTTGCTCTTGGCTACCCAAGAACAACGGCCCTGGATCAGACCAAAAGGCCCAAATGGCTTCTTCGAACCCAAGACCTCAGAGTTGGTTTAGGAGTAGATACTTGGGAGGGAAGGGCAAATCTTTTTCCTTGCGGCTGCTGATGCTTCATGACATAGAGACCTTCTGAGGAATGGGCTGTATCAGGACCAGCGCCTGTGCCTTTGGCTATGGCGTGCACGTTTTGGTGCTCGCAGCGTTCGGTGGAAATGAGTTTTGCAGTTCAGTTGCGCTGCGTGAAAAGGAACTTCCTTTTGTCTTCCTAACCTTTCTGGCTGCGGTTCCGTTGGATGGACACCCATTGCTTTGGATGCGCCTTAGTCTCATGCAAAATATCGGATAATCATTCCGAGCTCCACTTTTCCCTTAAACTTTATGGTTTTATAAACCTCTGTCTTCTCCTCAGCAATAATTTTTTTCTCAAGGGGAAGCATCTCCCTTCAGTGTCTCTCTCATCACGTAGTGCCATACTGTGCCCCGCTTCTCGGTGCCTTTTTCATTTTATTTTTACCTTTCCAAGGGAGGAAGGAAACCAGCGCTTTACAGAGTTTTCAAAGTACAGGTACACAGCAATGTGTTACAGTTTCAAATCCTTCCTCTATCTTTCCCCCTTGACTCCTGCTAAGGACTGAGCTAATGTTTTCAGAGAACTGTCCACAGCTGTAAGCATCTGTAAAGCTAATTGTCTGCTGCCTATAGTTCTTGTTGCCAGAAGTTCGCTCTGCTTTGCATAAATGGCACAAGCGCTATTTGGATTTTAGTGGCAGTGTTCACAGAAGCCAATGCTGCAGACGGTCATCTTTTTTCCCTCGTATCAGAGGGGGCCCTTGACCTCTCTCTCCTGGCTTGCTAGCTCAACAGTGTTCATAAGAATTAGACTGATGTTAGCTTTATGAAAAATAAAAACAATTTGATGTTCTTAGCGATTAAAAATGAATGCCTCAAACTCCTCAGTTGCATTGATCGTGAAGAAGTGAGGTTGACTCAGTTTTTTTCCTTTCACCCGATCTGCAGCTTCTCTTCAGCCCTTATTAAGTACCCAGGTGAAGGAGCAACCTGGTCTATGGGGTAGAGATCGGAGGCCTCTCTACCCCAGGGCCATGTCTCCTCTGGAGGTCCGGGATGGCAAGACTAGCCTGGAAAACTTGGACACCGGGGCCAGAGGTGACCTCTCGCAGCTCCCTAGCCCAGCCTTGAAACAGGACCCTGGAGAAAGGGAGGTGAGCAGTGCTGCCATGGAAACTGCTCAGATCAAGGACAAGCTGAAGAAGAGGAGGATGTCTGAGGGCCTGTTAGTGCTGCAGAGAGGTAATGCTGGAACCTGCCCGCTCTCCTGTGGGAAGCAGCGCCTTCCCCAGCCTAGGGAGCTAGAGCACGTTCCTGGTGAAGAGTGAACCACCCCTATGATTGCGTTTCATGAGCCACTGCTTTTGCTGGTTTGTGTTTCTACACTGTAATAACACCCTCTGTTCTCAGCCCCCTGTGCAGCCCTACTGCTGGTCTGTGGGGCAGGCAGAGGAATGTGCGGATGTTTATGCGGGTGGTTTAATCCTGGTAAGGGCAGATCTGTGGGCTCCCTGCTGTTGGACAGGAGCCTGGAGAGCCCCAGGTGGCTCTGGGAAAATGGGTCATGTGAGTCCCTGGGCTGCTTCAGGTGGCTGCCAGCATTAACATGTCCACTGAAGAGCGGGTTTCACTGTGCAGCTGTTTACAGATTTCCAAGAAATCTGCCCTTCTGGGATCCAGCTTCAGGTGTTCTGGATCTGAAACGTTGCCTCTTCTGTGCTTCGTGTCTCCACTTTGCAGGCCTCTTGGACAGCGGTGACCCTGCAGGGCTTGCCTTGAAGCCAGCTGTTTCCAGGTCAGCTTCCCAGAGGCTCCTGGTAACATCCAAGCCCATGCCGCCCATCCAGCATGGTCCCCCGTCCCCCGAGACCGGCGAGGCAAGCAATGGGGAGCCGAAGGACTGGGAGAACGGCATAGATGGTGGAGACAGCGATGAGAGCCATGAGGGGTTGACGTCAGAGGTAAAAGGGTGCGAAGCAAGCAAACCCAGCCAAATTGAGCTTGATGGCTCTTCTGCTTATTGCACGTAGGCAGAGCTCCCAGGTGATCGTAGCTCCCAGGTGATCGTTCCCCATGTGCAAGTCTAGGGAAGCAGCTGACCCGAGGAAGAGCTCAGCCAGATGGTGAGCTGCACGTTGTGTTTGTGGTGTGCATACTGCGGACTTCATGTCCCCAGTATAGGTAAATAGGGCAATTCCTCTTTAAACAGTTTTTGCACTCTCTAGTTGCTTCTGTTGTGTTTTGTGACTGAAGAAAACACCAGCAGCTATCTAACCTGGCCAAGCGCGTACCACGATATTTGGTAAAATATGCGTATTTGTCAACCCTCTGTGCTGTGTACGTGGCTGTTATTGTTCAGACACACCAGTCTTGGTGGCATACCAACTCTGATTTAGAAGGAAAAAGATGTTTGCTGGATAGGCAGTCCAACTCCACGGGGGAATTCAAAGTACAACTGAGTCCTCGTGCACCGTTACCTCTAATGATGTTTCTAGAGTTCAGTGGCCCCCGAACAGCTTTGACTCCTTCCACAGGTCTGCACAGGGGTAGGCGACTGGAACGGGCAATTCTGCCCATAGGGAACGGAGCCCAGACCTTGCTCTCTTGTCTGGCTTTGCAGAAGTGACAGGAGTTGCAGGTGTTTTGATTTTGCCATGGTAGGCAGAAAGAGCCTATAACAACTTTTTTGAACAGGAAAACCAATAAAAGGTCGGTACACTTGATTTCAGCCTTGCAGATACAGGGCCAAATGTATCCCTGATATTAGCTCTTTTGGTTTCACTGGAGTTTAAACAGGTCCTGGTTTGGCTCTTTGGCCAGGAAAAGAACAAAAAGACACTAAAGAAAGGTGCATGCCTGCCTGCCCTGCTCCTTCTGCCCTATTTGTAGCTGTGGCATGGAGTGGCCTTTCCAGACAAAGTGATCTCAGCAGGCAGAGAGGCCCTACACAGCGCGGCAGAGTAGGGAGCAATGCTGAGCTTAGTAAATGACAGTGAGCTGGCAATGATAAACTGTGTGGAAGCTGGAGAGCACCTGGGATCCAGAGAACATGTGAATGTTTGGGCCAAGAGGCTGATGGGGGACTGTAGGAAGGGCAACAGCAGAAAAAAATTATGGACTTGAGCAAAGCAGGGTTTGACAGCATGCAAAATGACTTTGTGGAGGCTTGGCTGGAGCTGAGCAGTGGCTGGTCGGTGCATTACGGACAGCAAGGGGATAATGATCTAAAACCCTGCTGGTACCAGCAGAAAGGCTAGTAGAGGCAACAGCATCCCCTGTACTTCTGGTGCACGCAGCTGCCGCAGGATGCTCCCCTCTGACCGTGGTGGCGCTGGCCGAGCCCCCGGCCTGCACGCTGGCTGGGTAGGACCGATCTGCCTGAGTGGCGAGGGAGGATGGCGGCGTTCAGCCCAACCACTTGGCTCTCCTGTTTCCAGGCTTGCCTGCAGCCCTGCCGTTGCAGTGAGGAAGAGGAGGCGGCGAGGAAGCTGCAAGGGGCGGCTGTGGTTCCCCCCATCGCCACGTCGGCAAGTATGCTGGATGGAGGCACTGGCAGGGCTGTGGGGCCTCCCCCGGGCTCTCCGGTTTCCCAAGAGCCCCTGGAGGTGAGGTAAGCTGGGGTCACCTCCTCCCCAGTACACCATTCAACTCACATATCTCATGAGGTTATTCTCCAGTCAGCTCTCCAATATATTTATGCAAACTTATGCATATTCGCCAGATTGTGTGTCTAAGGTGGTCCATGGTCCAACCTGATGTCGAAACTAACACGATATACTTAAAAAGCAGAGGGTCAGGACTCGTGGGTCCTCAGCTGGACTCTGATATTCGTTCGCTCTGTAATCTCTGTGTTGCTACTCAGGAAACAAGAAGATTGTATTATATTTACCTGAATATGGCCGTTGATTTTATGTGTGAACTTTTGACTACAGGTATCTACACCTGCAAGAATCTTAGGGCTAATATTAGCAGTTGTAAATCCATCTACTAAATTCAGATGCCATTTCTGTAAATGTCAGTCGTAACTCTTCTGCAGCCGGGCCTTCACTGAGGAGTGAGAGCGCAGATATACATCTATCTTTCGGAGACTCACAGAGTCTTAATATTTACATGAGATTTTAAGATCATAGGGGCAAGGAGCTGAAGAGCAGTTATATGGCTGACACTCTTTAGGAGTGGAAAGATTTTCAGTTGTAACTGCATGGGGAAATCTAGCTGGCAGTCTTATGCCAGCTGTAATAACAAATAAAGAGTCACAGAAATAATATTTCAATTTAAAGGCATCGGTATGGCTTTTAAAGTGCAATCTGAATATATTATCTACCAGTTGAGCTGGACCCCCAACCACCAGAAGGAGGGAGGGGAAAAAAAAAAAAAAGCAGGAAGGTGTAATCTTATTCTCAGCAGAGAGCAGTGGTATTGCCATTTTAAATAACGTACTATCATCCGTTTAAGTCAAGACCCGGGCAAAGTTAGACTTACAACAGTGTGCCGGTGTGTTGAGGGCAGTGGCTGCCCTCAGTACAGACTCCAGACAAAGCTTAACATCTCTTGTTGATTCAGAAGGGCTGGATGTAAAGTGAGAGCCACGTAGCTCAGCAGCGAGAGACAGCAGAATTGGATATTTAAAGTCCAAATTGAAGAATCTGACACATGTTTCAGTTGGAGCCAGATTAGCTCCTTGTGTGACTCTGCAAACGGAAAATTTAACAGCCAGTAATGGGCTTTGAATATTGTTTTAAGAGTTACATTTGCTTCTTCATCAGGGTGACCTTGCTAAGAAAGCCTTCCTTTATTAAAGCTACACCCATTCTCTTTATGTCTTCTCATTATGTACTTTTTCTCTCCCGTTTTCTTAAGGTCAAGATCAGGCAGCAGAACTCAGGAGAAGACCCTTAAACCTCTGGGTAGGTACAGGGCATGTTTGTCCTAAAATGAGTACAGACATCCCAGCTGGTGGATGGCACTGCGAATGTCCAGTTGAGGACCTTTCTGAAACGTTTTGTGATTAGTTGGGGCGCTCCAACAGCTGCCCCAGACCCAGTCCCCGGGAAAGTGCGCTCTGGCATTTTGGGTGGGAGTGAGTCCAGCGTGTGAAGCTGAGAGGGTTACCCCAGGGCCCCGGAAATGCACTACAGGAAAAGAAGCTCTTCCTCCAACTCTTTCACCTTGTGCTCTTCACTGTGCTTGTATGTCTTGCCTCTCTGCAATCGCCTCCCAATGCCACAAAGATTGGAGATAAATGAGGCATTTCATGTGAAATAAGAAATGCAGCCACTTGCTCCTCCTACAACGGAAGGAAATCTTCACTCAGGACAGTCTCTGATCCTGAACCAATCCCTTTCGACACCTGAAGGAGATTCATGACCATTGCCTATTTTACACTAGGAGAAATGTTGACACCTCGTGATAGGAAGTCCTTATGATTTTTCCATTTACAGATAAAGAAGTTTAAAGAAGGATCCCATCTCTGTAGCAGTCGTCTGAACTGAGCTTTCCATCCTGTTAAAGCATAGGTCTGCCTTAAATGCTGAGTTATAAACTGAGGCTTCCTTTTTATATTTCAGTTACCTCATATCACATATGCTAAGTTTATTATTAAAAACATCTTTGCCCTACCCTATCTGCGAATGTCAACCTTGCAAATTCAGGCAGGGCTCTGAGATGCGCAGTGGTGGTGTTTTTTATCTTCATCATCACTAGGAATAGAAATTGTACAAGACAAAGTAGTGTCAGTCCCATCTGTGTTGCCTTTGCTGTCCTTTGCCATCTGTGGGTTTGTAGAAACAGGAGAGGTGAGAATGTAACAAATAATTCTGCTGATGCAGGAAAAAAGGATGAGATCCACTGATGTCTCAGTGCAGTGCTAGCTCTGCCAAATAACGAGCATACACTACAGTAATGATTACTTTATTGCTGATATGCAGCTAAGATGCTGAATACAACTAGGGAGGAGAATTGCTGAGTAAGTAAGGTGACATTTTTACTGGATGCTTTCCGGACTAGCAATGAGCTATACGGTTAAACTATCATTCTTTCTCTCTCTCTTTCTCATCAGCCTGACCATTCAATAGGAAAAAAATCCTGATTTAAAGAAGTTATTCCTTTTTTTTTCTACTACTTGGCTATCACACGATTTTATCATCTGTGAAACCAGGCATGGAATGATTAGCTCTCTGAGTTTTAACAGCTCTGTTGGAGAGTGATTCAGAATGAGCTGCAGTGTGCTATTCTCATTAAGAAAATCAGCCATTAGTGAGGCTGCCCAGAAAGTGGGCTGATCTGCTACGATTTGTAATGAAGCTGCTTGGGGAGAATGAATTCCAGCTTTGAGAACAAAATTCTGCTTTTGGTAACATTCTACAAATCCCAAGCTTTTCTTCAAATGCCCTTTTAATAGTCCAGCAGAGGAGGACATACCGATTCCTACCTCTACAAAGGTATGTAGCTATCAAAAAACAGGAGATACTCTAGCAGCTGGGAAAAAGAGGATGAAATCAAAGTAGATAGGGACCGATAAGCAATTTTTTTTTTTACAAGGGGATGCCTTATCCCACTGCTATTCTTCAGCAAACATAGCAGCTCAGCGGGAGCTGATGACCAAGGCCTTTGTCATTCAGTAGGCATTTGATGGCCAAGAGAGCAATGCCATTTCTGCGGCCAGTGCCATAGGCAAGGATCCCACCCGTTTGAAGGTGCTCTGAGTTACTCGCCATGCTCGTAGGCAATATATGTTCTTGTCTACCTAGAGCTCAGGATGCTGGAACCAGTCCTGCCTGTTCCCCAGCACCGTGTTGCCGGGGGCGTGAAGTCTGCTGGCCGCTTGTCCGAATCTCTGTTGCCATTCACAGGCCTCTCCCTCAGCCGGGCCACGGGGATGGATCATCTTGCGAGCCCTCGCCTCCTGAGTGATGACGAGTGGAAGGAGAGCAACGGGAGGGTAAGGGTTAAGGACCGGGGGGAGGGGATTTGTTCTTTGGTGATTGTTCAGTATTTAGCGCAAAACGTCAGTGAAAATTATCATTTTCCTCTTGCGAGGGAATGTCTTTTATAGCTAAAGAGCTGTAAAAGGTAAGCTTGTGTGTTTTCACTGTGCAGAAACCGTTGGTTGGGAGATGGGGCTAGAGTTAAGCAAGAAGCACTCTTTATGTGCAGAGGTGAATTTATAACAGATACGAATGGCAGAGCAAGTGGTGCGTCAGTGAGCGCTTGCAAACTGCATGCTTGGGAGGCAAAAGCAAAGATTATGATGTAGCGCATAAGCAAGGTTGCCAAATAACATAGGAAAGCTTGCTTTTCCTTAGTTACCTTTCTTGCTGTATCTTGCAACCCTGTAATTCTCTTTTTCTATTCATTTGGACCAGTGTTCCTCAAACTTCCTGTTCACGTGACTCCTCTTCTGGACTCATATGTCTTCTCTGAGAGCAGCTGAGTCCTTCAGCAGCAGGGAAGCGAGAAGCAGCTGCAATTACTGACGTTTACTATAGCTAGAAAACAGCAAATTACCTTTCATTGCTGGCTGCGTGTACTAGCGGATGGTTTTTACTCCCCTGCCCTGCCTTATGGGAAGCGACCTGGCAGTTCCCTGGTAGCGTGAGTTTTTGATACTTCTTGGAGCACCCCTATGGGCTCCTTGGTGTGAGCAAGGCTTCCTGACATAGCTTGAGAAAGTGTCTTGGAGCAGTGGAAGGGTATGGAGATGATGTGGTATACACCATCAGGTGTAATTGTGTGCTGAGGTGAGGAAAAGTAATTACTCCTGAATTACTCCTGAAGCTATTGGGGTGTGTTTGGAACTGCATTAGAGACCATGACACTCTGTCACTGTATACCTGCTTAGACGTCACGTATATGGTCCTTTTATACTCCATGCTGTGTTTCCTTTATGACTAGATCCATATTACCATATCCAAGTCAGCTCAGGAGAAAATGCGCCAGAAGCAGATGAGAGAGATGGAGCTCTTGCGCAGAGAGAGGGAGAAAGAGAGAGAAAAGGAGAAGTCCTTGCAGCTGCACGTGCAGAGCGCTGACCCTGTGGGTGCTGATGAAGAAGGTAAGCTCTTGCGATAGTTGCGGGTCTTTTTGTTCACTTGCTTGCCTCTTGCATAGTGTTAAAATGTCTATGAAATCTAACTTGAAGGCTGTTACACTTGCGTTGCACAGATCTAAGCGGAAACTAGAACATGATTTATTTCTACTTTCCAAATAAAAATACAGAGGCATGAAGTGTCTTGACCATGGCCCGTAGTGAGTCAGTGGCAGACTATAGAGCCCCTTCTGCCCTCTTTTCCTACCAAGTCTTTTGGACTTGGCAGTTCTCCTTTGCCAACTACATCTGGGCTTCTGACGCTGTATTTGAGCGCAGCCAGCAGAATAGATGAATGGATGAGTCCCAAAGAATGCTTTTTAACCAAGTTGCAGCCTGAAAGAACTGAAGTTAAAATATTTCTGATTAAAACACAAAAGATGATCTTGCTCATGTGGTAGAACAGTTTATCCTGCCCACATCCGCTGTCCCGCTGAGGAGCTCGCACTGGAAAGCTGCACTGGAGCCCTTACCGAGTGCTCGCGTTTTACCCACACGAGCACATGGCTTACTGACTTAATTGCAACTGACAGGCGCTGATTGTACTGCGGCACACGCTTTACAGAGTGCAGCAGCAGAGAAGTTGCAAGTCAGCACTCAGCCTAAGAGTACGGGACAAGGTTATCTGTTCTTTTTCTTGCTGCTATTTTGCAAAGTGCTGGTGAGGAGTGTGGAGGTGGGAGCCCCAGAAATGTAACTTTCCTATCTGGCCTCTGAAGCAGGAAAGCAAAGGAAATGCAGTGCTGGGTTTCCCTCATCCTTTAGGGAAAGCATCGCTGCACTCTGCCATCACTGCCGCGGGTTAGCACGCAACTGCTGTGCTTGGAGCTATTTGGGCCAATGCTGTGAGGGATGTTTTGTTTGTTACTCCAGCTCCAGCTAGATACCTCTAGCTGTTTCCAAACCCTTAGCCATCCCGTCCAGTGCTCTGGACTCAGGGGTCCTCTTCAATCTCTGCAGGCTTTGGCCCGCTGAATGTCAATGGGCTCGTCTCCCTTTCTCCCAGCATGAGCAACGCGGGCAGAACTGGTGTTGGTACCGCGCTGAAGAAGCGGATCAACAGGCCGTCCTTGCCCAACATCCCTGCCATCAGCCAGGAGGGTAGCTTCTCACGCCATGCCTCGGGTGAGCTGTGCGACGCGTGCCCCGGCGGTGGCTCTCATCTGCCCCCGGGAGCGCAGACTGCCTCCTTCCCCGCGCGGGGGGGGAAGTTTAGCTGAATAAAGCTGTGGTGAAGCCTTAAGCTCAAGCCTTTGCCCATGCGGGGAGTCTAAACCACAGCGCTGGCGCTGGGTCAGGCCAATGGCGTAAAAGGGGAGCCAGCTGTACGTGCAAAGCTGAGCCGCACCCTCGGTCCACGCGGCTGCCTGGCTTTCCAGCCAGCTTTGCTGGTGCTGCAGCAAGGGTTCCCACCGCACCGAAATTAATGACTTGGCATGATAACGCACCCAGAAGTATTTAAAGGCTTCCAGCCTGTCGTGTCATACCTCGTGCAAAACAAACTAGGCATAAGTCGTGCCCGTCCTGTCACCTAGCCTAAACACAGTAGCTGCGTATGGTAGGTGACACAGAGGGGAGGCTGCCGGCTTCTCTCAAACTGCTCGTTATCCGCAATAGGCGTACAGCAGATTAGGAGCACACAGTGCCTCTGGTCTCTCTTTCGTGGGTAGGAAGCAATCGTTTAGTCTGCGTTTGTGTTACGATCCTGAGTATCATGAGTTAAGAAAAATGGAGCTAGGAATGATGCCTTGAATGGTATCTTCCGGTGACACTGCTCTGTCCTGGGCCTGTTTTTCAAAAATGACCAGAACTAGCCTACTGTGGCTCTCCACTCCTTTCAACTATTCATGTTTGTATTCGTACATATAGGTATATTTTACCAGTGACATCAGTGAGATCAGAATTAGACCTTATCTGTGCATTTTTGAAAAATGTCCTGCTGATTTTATATATATCCTCCATATCTCGTAGAACACACAAAAACTCTAGCTAGCATAAAAATCCCATATAGTCCATACCAGCTCCTCTAGATTCTGTGCAATATTTAGACTCAATACTTTTAGACAACTCGGGTGTTTTCATCTACTGTTTAGAAAATGAGCTTTTGAGAGCAAGACATGACATTTTTGACCAGTAGTGCATCTGATGACAAATATGTTTCAAAACAAACACATTTATCTTCTGAATTTTGTTATACCTTGTATATTTGTCATCAAGTGAGTGCATTTGCCAACAATTTGCATCTGCATTTACATATTTTTATCCTCAATTCACATTTGGAAGGCTTTTTTGTCACAGCTATCTAGACTAGAAATTGCATTTTTCCACAAGAGAAAGCTTAGGCATTGCACAGCTTGTAAACAAACATAGTTGATGACAAATAAATTTCACTTCAGCATCTTTGAAATAGAGCCGGTGGGTAACTCTGAAATAGTAAATATTCATAGCACTTGGAAAACAGCGAAATCCATAAACTACTGCTTTCCCAATAGTATGTTAAAATGAATGCGCACTCAGCTGTCTGCTATCTAGTGCATTTGAAATAAATGGAAACCGAGACGTAGCCAGATTTCGAGGGTCTATTAGCTGGTGCCCAGCTCAGGGTGCCTGGGAGGCTGTGGGGTGCTGGGAAAGCACCAGTGCGCTTACAGCCTGTGTTCGCCCCTCTTCCCGCAGCAGACTCGCTGCCGGCCATCGCCCTGGGCTGCCCGGAGTGGGGAGAGGAGCCCGAATGTGGGGACGCCTCGGCAGCGAGACCCTTCTCTCACCCGGAGCAGGGGCTGGGCGACGCACTGGGCTGGCTCGGCAGCAGCGACTGGTAAGGGAAAACTCTCCGCTCGCTCCCTTTCCCCCCGACCTTGGCGTAAAGGTCAGATAAAGCGATGTCTTCCAGCGCTGCGCTCGGTGGCGCTGAGCCCGGACAGGCCAAAAGGGAACTCATGAAACTGCCCCGGAGCGATCACGGTGCGTGGGCGTGGGGGTAGCTTTCTGCTCACCCTGGGTCGCCCCGTGGCTAGCAGTGCGATGGCCACAGCAGGTTTGTGCTCCTTGTCGGTTTTACCTCCTGCTCTGGGTAGCTGCAAATGAAAACTTCAGGGAAGAGAGAAATTTGTGGAACAAGAAGATTTGCTTGTTGAAGCCGGAAGCACAAGCCAGGACAGAAACAATCTTCAGTTTTAGAGGTTTTGGGGCCTCGGGATACCGGCCCAGGTGGGATCAAGTAAGAAGGTGCGCTGGGTCTTGCTGCTAGCAGCACCAGCAGGAGAAGGGGGCCTTCCTCCTCCACCCGCAGGGACCTCCTGCTCGTGCAGGTTGCAGCAGTGCGAGTTTCTGTTTCTGCAGTACAGACCGAGACATGGTGTGAAAGTGCTCAACCTAGCCTTCCTCCTGATGGGCTGATGGCAGAAGAAAATCCAAAAGAAAGAAATCTTTTAGGACTCTTGTACTTTTACCGAATCACAGAATGGCCAAGGTTGGAATTCAGCTTTTAGAATTGAACTTTTTCCTTCTGACAGTTTAATATGGGCCAAAGAGAGGCACTTTTGTTGATAACAATTGTGCTGAAACTAGACTCTGACAGGAGGAGACGATGAATTTCAGGTGATGTTGTCCTTGTTTCTGATTTCTGGGACACCATATGCTCACTGGGGCTCCATTCACCCCAGAGGAACCATGCAAAACCATCTGTGTTGCAGCTCCTTGCACAGCTGCTTCACTTTGCCCCTCTCCCCCTTCACATGCCCCCACGATGTGGTGCCTGCTGCAGGCATGGGAGCAGCTGGTTGCACCCACGGGGCCCCAGCCTGGTCCTGCAGCCCTCTGGGTCTCCTGATGGGGAGGCTACCGTGGGGAGACAACTGGTCAATCATCCAGCTCAGGTTCTTCAAAAAGAAACTGCAGAAATTGTGGGATCTTTTAGGACATACTGGGTTTTTTTTTTGTCTCGGTCTATTTTTTGGACTCTATTGCACTGTGCAAACACCTAGACTGAACTGCATCGCAGGACGGTGTCCAGGCAAGGTGCGAGAAACAGAGAAGTATGATGCAGCCTCTGAGCTTCTGGGAAGCAGTAGCATAGGGACTTTGTGTGCCAGGGCTTTCAGGAAGGCTGTCTTGTTTAATGGCCACAGATTAACCTTTCCACTCTGAAACCATCTAATTACCTTTTGGATTTATGTATACTTTTGACTGCCACAGCATCCTGTTTCACAGTTTAATTAAGTGCTGTATGAGAAGCGCCTCCCTTTGTTTGTTTGAACTGATACCCTGGTAATTTCAGAGGGTGCTGCCTAAATCTTGGGTGGTGAGAAAAATCAGTCTTTTCGGTAATTGCCTTTCAGGCAGCTGAAGGGGAAAGGGCTCTTCAGCATCAGACGTCTGGCTATCTGCCACTCAGAAATCCTTCTTTGCAGACTTCATGACGTTTCCTTGGCAGTTACCAAAGAGGTAGGAACGTTGTAGTTAACTGTGTCCCATGTACCTCCTACACAGGGTGGAGAGTAGATGTGTACCTGTGTATTTACATGTGTGCTTTGCATCTGCCTCCATTACTGTTTTTAGCTCTCATTTCTCCAGTAGCTAAGTCACCTATCTGTATGATCTGCCTATGTATGTAACTGTATTTGCAAGTGCATCTGTTTCTGTCTCCTCTTTGAGCTACGTGCCATTAGAATGCAATATACAAATGCGGAAACTGAGGCACCAGTTGAGTGATCTGCTACAGTCCAAGTCTCTGCCCCAGATGCAATTAAACCCTGGAGCTTTTGCCTTCCAGCTCTCTTGCACTTCCTCTTCCTCAGCATCCCAGGGGACTGACTGCAGGTGTCTATTTTCCAGGGTCTCCTGATTTTTCTTCTCCTTCTCTGCGCTTTCTATAGATTTGCCCTTTCCGTTGATGTACTGTCTCCTTGCACTGGTGCAATTTTGCAGTACAGTTGCTGGATGCTTGGAGCCTCCCAGCTCTCGTATTGAAGGGTGATCACACACGCTTTCTCGTTGCTCAGTTAACAGAGAGGTCTCAACCTAAGCTCCTCAGATTAATATATGGCTATATTTTCAAACTGGTACTCTTTGTGACCTGAACTAGCTGCCTTGTACTCTTACCACGTGTGATTGCCGAATACGTTAAATCTTCCTTTGCTTGCAGAAGACGGTAAGACTTAACACTTTTCCATGAAAGTAGATCCATATCTTCTATTCAGTAGCTAAAGGTGTCAGATGCTTGAATGGCTCTGGTGTTGCTGGACTCTTCGAACCTTTCTGTTTAGAAATTCAGGGCTCAGATTTTCCTGCTTAGAGATCAGAGACAAGAGGAGAAGCCGTTCCGGCTTACCTCATCTGATTCTGATATTATTTTTGTATTTCTGAGGAAATCTCTCTGTTCTAAGCTGTCGTGTGCAGAGGCATAGTTCAGCTATCATTTCACTCTAGCTTCAGCACTTCTAACCCTTATATTGTTCTCTTTTTATTAACAAGCACAGCTAAGGCAGAAGGAAGCATAAGGCTGTCTCTTGTCATATCTTTCAAATGAAATGCTTGACTCCCAGGTGCTCATTTCTTCCGCTCTTCAAGATAGTCCTCTGAAAGCAGTGATCACTCCGTAGTAGCACTGAATTCTGTAAAATCCCGCTGATTGCAGCAGGAATTGTGTGCGATCCTCCAGGATCCTCCAGGATTTGCAGATCCTTGAATCCAACAGCTCGAGCTCTCCTGGGTGGGTGGAGCGGCAGGATTCAAGTCCTGATGTGAACTGGTCTGAGAGTAGATTTGAATCCTCATCCCATTTCCTGGATGAGTGCTCAAATTGCTGCTGTTGCATTTTTGTACAGGAGGAAAGTGCTACCCTTCTTCTATCTTGTCTTTATGAACTGTGCCTTTATAGTTTGTAATTAGCCATTTTTTGTTCCCCCCCTCCCCCCCCAGGAAAAGGGTCTAAAATCAAAACAGTGTACCTTGTGGGCTAAGTAGCACACTTTATTCTGTGTGAAACAATGTTCCTCGGGCCTGCAGTCTTATTAAAATTGGGCTGTAAGGGGACCTGAGGCCAGACAAGAAGTTGGTATCAAAGTAAAGGTGTTTCTGTGCTTATGGTCCTGTGCTCTTACTGTGGTCTTATATTCCACCTGGACCCAGAAAAAAGTCCTGTTGTCTCCTGAGACTTCCCTCCAGGTGAAGAGATACTTCTTACAAGATGATTCTTACGTTTTTCCCTCATGACTTCTGCAGGTGAACAACCTCCGCTCAAAGGTGTGTCGCTTTGCAATCGGCACTCTTGGAGAGCTCTTCAGGACCATGAAGAAGCACATGGACCAGGAGGTGGAGGAGATTGCTCGAGCCTTGCTCCAGAAGGCAGGGGACTCCAGTGAATTCATTCAGAAAGCAGCTTATCGATCCCTTGGGATCATGGTGGGAAGCGTGACTCCTGCACGGGCAATGGCTGCTCTCATGGCTGGTGGGGTCAAGTACGTGGTTCTCTCCTAGGGATGTCCTTCACTTTAAATCTTGTGGGAAGGGGGAAGGGAAGGGGGGCAGAGGGACAAGCAGGAGAATGGCTGGAGGGAAGAGTCCTTTCTCCTAGATACTCTGTGACTTTGTGGGTGAAAATCTCTGACCATCCCAATTCCCTTCCTGTTATCATCTAATTGTACCCTGCTACAGCCTACCTGTTCTCACAGTCGGTCAGTGCTGCCTAGATGTGGTGAGCAATGGGGAAGTGAAAGTCCCTGCAGAGCGTGGTGGTACAGCCCCATGGCTTTGCAGGAACAGAGGCAATGGCAATTCCAGCAGAGAGCATCCTTGTTTGATATTTCACAGCATTAACCACAAAGGCCCTCGGAAGAACCATGCATCATCGTTATGCCATTAACTTGAGAAGCAGGGAGGCTAATTGCTGGGACACGGAGCATGTAGGGGAGAAGCTGCTGGGTGCGGTAGGTGCCTGCTCATCAGGCACAGCTCCTGCGGGGAGGAGTCTGACACCATGTCATTAGGACTTCGCTTTCTAGTCAAATTGACACCAAATGTTAGCTTTGAGATGCTGAGTCACATTACAGGCGCCTTCACAGGCAGCCTCAAGGGATACCTGAAGCAGGTGCTGCCTTGAAATAATAGTGTTGTGTCTGATACTTTCAAATAGGTGCTCCTCTTTTCTAGAAAGGATGCTCTAACTGAAATGACTGCTACCCTTTTCTCAGCTTTTGAAAAGGGTAAAACATTCAAACGTACCTGCTGCCAAACCGTAAAGAACAAACTCTCTGCATTGTTGGATGTTCTGTAGCCTCATCCTCCATGTGTGTGGGTATATTTTTTTTTTTTTAAACCCCTTTCTGGCTTTTCAAGGGCCTGCAGGTTTGGAGATAAGTTGGTGGAAAACGTCCCAATCCTACCACAGCACTATCTGTGTGTGGTGGTGTGGTGAAAGCCCTCTGATGCGAGTCAGCATGAATTGTTTTTCATTTCCCTCTTTCTTGGAGTCAGTAATTTCAGGAAAGAGACTGAGTATCTAATAGCCTAGGGTGTTTGAATCTCTCTTTCACCCTTGCAGGTGGCCCATCAGTAAGACACCAGCTCTGTGCTTGTCAGGGGATAGCAGTGGCTGCCGCTGGCTCGCGCTGCGGCGAGGAGGCAGGCCTTCTGCCCCCAGCCAGGACAGGGACGGTCCCTCTGCGCGCGCCTCCTCTTTCTCGCTGCCCGAGTGTTTGCAATCTCGTTCGCAGTCACCGAAACGCCCTTGTCCGGAGGTGCGCCGCTGAACACTTGCTGACCGTAACGGAGCAGATCGGAGCTGAGAAGCTGCTGTCGGGCTCCCGCGAGAGCACTGAGCTGCTGGTGCAGGCGCTGGTGAAGCTTGCTCAGGACTGCAATCAGGACACAAGGTAACGACCTCCCTGCCGCCTCCTGAAAATGGATTTTTGATGGCTGGCCAGAAATGCTAGAACCACAAAAGAGTAGAGGTAAAGTAAATATTAAGGAAGTTACTCCCCAGTGTGGATAATGCTGTCTGGGGAAAAGACTGTATTTGATACTGTAAGGCTGTCCGGCAAGAGGGACCGTTGACAAATTCCTGTGACATGCATGGTTTTTTATGCAGATTAGTCAATTGAACAGTTTCTTTTGGTCCTACCTCTACAGTACAAAGCTGGTATTGCCTGCTGTTCTTCATCAAAAGATCCCCAAGCACTCCTGGTATGGTTAAGATTGTCCCAGAAGAAAAATTCTAGTTATCTTCAACTAATGTGTTCAGGTTCCTAAACCCCTTACGCAGTTTGTTGCCTGTGATATTCACATTTGCTTCTTCCTAGCCACTTTATAATGTTGTTGTCTGTAGCTGCATGACTTCCACGTTTCCTCTTAAAGACAGCTGTAATTTGGTAGCACGTTTGAAAAAAAAAAAAAAAAAAAAAATCCAGTGCAGCCATCAGAGCGCTTCAGTGTTCAGCAAAAGGAGAGCCTCGTTAAGGGAATAACTTACTTTGATTATTACTCTAAATCCTCATTAACAGATTGCAAGAACATATGAGCAACTAACTGTCCTTCAGCCTACTTTTGTATAGAGTAGTAGGCGTAAGCTGATTTGCTCTAGTTTCTCCCCCAGTGAAAGGACTGTGAATTATTGTGCGTTTGCAGTGAGACATTGCACACGAGCACTGACAGCAAAGCAGGAGATGCGCTTCACTCATCCCGCAGGATCCCTCCGTGCACCCAATTTCAGAGGGTGAAACTGTATTTCCCTGTTGCCCTGTGTCTTCCAGTGCCTCCTGTGTTCAGCTGGCACCATTGTGTGGTGGTGCCAACTGCAGGTGAATATCTCTCTTTGCTGAAGGGAGAAAAAGTTCTTATGCAAACATTGCACATGACAGGTATGAAATATCAGCTTATTCTTTTAACCCTTTTCTTCCTTGGCTTATGGATAGGTAAAGAAGACAGTAAGATTAGGTAGAGAAGATGGTCATTCATTTCTCTTCCCTGCGTCAGGTTTTATGGACGGAAGATGCTGAACATGTTGATGAATCATCCAAAATTTGATGGGTATTTGAAACAGTCTCTCCCATCACATGACTTGCGAGATGTTATGGCAACAATTAAGCAGAAAGTAAGTGCTTGGCAGGAGAAGGTCTCCTTTATGCAAATACTGAGGTTGCTAATATGAGAATGCGATTAAGTATATTCAGTCTTTCTGTTTCTCATTCTTCTTCTACTGAGCTGTTTTGCTTGTGGGAATGAACTGTTGATCCTAAGCGATTTTATCAGCAGGCAGTCAAAGGACAAGTGTGGCTAGGAATAAAGTGACGGTATTTTGAATATCAGCCTCAAACAGGAAGAAAAGTAGGAGAAAATGTTTTCACCCTCACCCATAAGAAATAATCCCCTCTTCCTTCCCCCCGCCCCCAGCAAGGAAGTGAGAATAGTGCTTCTGAAGGTGTTGGACCTTTTTGTAACAGATGAAGGAAGTAATAGTGCCTAGAAAATTTCCAGGAATACAAAAGACGCACAAAGCTGTCGTACTTAGCGCATATATTGTCCGTATTCTGGGGATACTGCTGTGCCCTGTGGAGCTAGAAGGAGCTCTGAATTCAGCAACCAGTGGAAAAACATCCTGTTTTTTTTTTTTGTTTTTTTTTTTCATTCCTTTCCATTTTTATATCCTAGAAAAGAATCTTGCTTTCTGCAGAAATAGGGAGAGCGAGTGTGAAAGGCAAATCAACTCTGAACATCAACAGTCCAGTCTTGAGATACTCCAAAAATCTCCCGCTATTCCCTTCATGAAAGCTTATTGCCGATCAAGTCCCTTTGTTTCCATTTGCACTCAAGACTAATGCGTTCAGGATTTTATACTGCTGCCCATCATTGTAGCACCTACAACCTGCGTTAGGCTGAAAATGGAATCTCCAGTAGATATCACAGAATCTCTGGTCCGTCTCCTCTCTAAGCTACGAAATGTTCTCCTAAGCCTTTCTGGGTAGCAGTGATCCCAGTTACAACTTGTGTTTTAAATGTATGATTTCCTATTTTATCTTTTATAGACTTATGTTCTTTTATATATGTATCTAGGGGATAGAAGACCATATATCTGAACCTCCATCTGCCAAAGGCCGCAGGGAGTCTAGGAAGAGCAGTTTGACGACGTCCCTGGACATCTTGCCTTCTGACGAAGGGTACTGAACACTTCCGCTAGATTTGACAGAGCGTGTGACAAGGTTTTCAGATCTCTTCCTCAGTAAAATCCTTCTGGTGCAGCTGACCTGCTCTCTGTGCCAGAGATTGTTTTTTTTTTTGCCCCCAAAACCTTGTGAGATGAAAAATAAATACCTAATTCTGCGCTAGGCTGAACACAAGTTCTCTGGGGGTTTTCCACGAAAATCAAGAGACAGAAAGAGACAACCAACAGTTGCAGCTTGGAAAAGCCAGATCAGTGGCTAGGACAGTGCCATGGAGGCTGTGGAAGAGTCATGTTTCTTTGCTGTTTGACTAGAGATGATCATTGCAATCAGGGTCTTGTCATCTGAGGGGAGTCTTTACTAGATGGGTGGTTTTGATGAGAAGTCCCAGTCTGGAACTGAGAAGCCTTTTTCAAAAAATGGCCCACTTCCATGCATATGGTTTGGCCTTGATGAATCATTGCTTTCTGACCCTCACAAAGCATCAGCAAGAGAATTCCTGAGCAGTTCTGGTTGACTAACAGCCTGAATGTGGATTTTTTGGTGTAGCTATTCATGTTGTTCAGACCCTTTACTGACTGTGTGGTTGATGGATAGCATGTTTTTATGTTGTGCTGCAGATCAGCATTCAAGATAGGAACTTGGTCTTTGCTGTCTCTTCAGGCCAGCGGGAGAGCTACTTGTACCTCCTTTCCTCTGATAACAGGGTAGATTTGTTTAGCTCTGCATTCTGTAGTGGCAGGAAGGTGAACACATGCCTCTCCATGGTGGTTAGAGGATTTTCCCGAGCATGTGCCAGAGGCGACTGATCCAAGGGAATTGTTTCCATTGAGTTCACTAAACATCAGATCAGTCCCTAGGGAAGCGATAATGTGAGAGCGTTAATGCAGTGCCTGGCTTCTGTTTGCATCTCCATTACTCATACTCTGAATTCCTTCAGATATGCCCTTAATTCCTTCGGGTGGGATTCATGTGTTTAGGTGCATCTGAGCTATTTATCTAGATTCCCCTTTACTTGTGACAGGCACTTCTCCAAGGCAGTTTATTTCTTTATATTATGGACACCTCCCTCAAGATCCCTTAAGATGTTTAAACTTTGAAGTAGTTTCTACTTCTCACCACAAAGGGATGCTAGATGAGTACCTGGAAGACATCTGAGGATAAGTGAGATAAATCCCATCTGCAGTGTCTCAGTTTTCCTAAGTAAGCACTAATGATAATGCCTCCTGTAATGACTGTCATGAGATCAAAGTCACTTTTCAGATGAGAATCTAGCTGAAATTACATCATTAGGAAGTCTCCTAGAGATGCTTTTCTCGCAGTTAGCTGAAGATGTTATCACCAAAAGGTCTTGTCTTACCTTGTTTTTTTTTTTTTTTTTTTTTTCCAATTCAAGGTCCAGCTCTGATGTCCTCGTCTTACCTCATCAGACAGTCCGGCGCATATCACTTCGCACTGTGGAAGAGATTGAACAACTCAAGGAGCTTAACAAACTGTTGACAGCCAAGGAGTTTCAGACACGAATGGAGGGAGTTGTGCTCCTCCTAGATCACTGCAAAAACAACCCCCAGCTCATCTCAGCAAACATTGTCCAGGTATCTAGGGCATCTGCATTTTCCTTTCCCCTTAGTTCTTTTCCCAAGCCTGCCCCAGTAAACTTAACTGCATCTGCCTGGCGCTGCATACCAGTCGTTCGAGACTGGCTGGTCCTTTCTTACCCAGAATAATTTAATTCAACTCCAGGCTTTAGTGCAAGTAATTCCAGTCCAGACGTATTTCTCTGGCAGGTGTCTGTTGGTGCTGTTCACAAATTGGTGTTTCAGTTTACTGTGGTGTAGGCTTCTGCTCTCCCCTATGCTTAGTTAAGTGAAAAGAAAGGAAATCCAGCCACCCAAAGCTGACAGTTATTTTCAGAAGAAGAAAAGGATGGGATGGGGGAGAGAAGTATCAGGCTAGGTTAATAACTTTTTTTTCCACAGGATGCTCATGTGAACTTTATCTTGTATTGCGAAGGTGCAATTCAGCCTATTTACTTCCCTTCTTATCCCTTCCCTGTTTGGGAAAGACTGCTCTCACCCTTCTTGGACCCAGTTCTGCTCTTTGGAAGAAGGAGGAGAACTACTAGAAAAGGATCTTCTCCTCTTCCTCCTCCCAGCAGCTGTGTTTCTTCCCTTTTCCAGAAAACGTTGCCCAAGAATGTGGCTGTTGTGGGGCTGAACCTGCTCTAATGAGAACTGGCACAGCACATTAAACTTGGAGTCTAACTGTTAGCTAGAAAGATTGGATCCTGAAGAATTCATCAGAGCCCTGCACTTCACCAGTCCTAGGTTCTGCGATAGACAGCTAAAATCAAACCTGGATCTCATCCAGCTCCAGTCTTGGCGAAACCAAAACTACCCTCAGTCCTTAAGACAACTTTATGGAAAGATGGGAATCACAAATAACTGTCTTCATACCAAAAGATTTTTTTGCGTTATTAAGATGGGGTTAATTTTATAGGTGAAAAGAATCTCCATATGAACTGTGTCCGTTCTAAAACCTCCTAATAAAATAAGGAAGTCTTTTAAACCACGTGGGGTTGTGCAACTGCTGTTGTAAGTAGCCCACAGGAAAACAGTGCAGTTGAACTAGTAAGCACTGGCCTGTCAGAAGGGATTATATTCATCTTTTACATTGCTGAGATCTTCTCTTACAACATCCCTTCTCTAAACAAAGACCTTGTAATTCAGCTTTCATGTCATTTGTTTTCTTAACAGATTTTTGACATTTTTGTCCTGAGACTTCAGGATTCCAACAAGAAAGTGAACCAGCAGGCTCTCGAGTCCCTTGCTGCCATGATGCCCCTCCTCGGGGACGGCTTGCACCCAGTGCTGGTCCCCGTGGTAGCAGCAGTCACCGACAACCTGAACTCTAAGAACGCAGGGATTTACGCAGCAGCTGTGAAGGTGCTGGATGCATCCATTGCACACCTGGGTAAGGCTGACCTCTGCCTGAGTACCCTATGGCATAGACACTCCCCTAATTGTGGTTTCTCTCTTGCAGTCTAATTAACACTTGATCTGTTGCTGTCTGGTTTTTGTGGAAAAATCCAGCTGCTGCAAGATGTTTATTAGGCTCTGTCTGAATTCTTTCTGTCCCAATCTGTTGTGTCATGTTGTGAGGTGCAACTCAATGGATAGCACTTATCATTGGGGTCATATGTCTGATTATTAATTCAGCAGAGAGGACTCGCTAAGGATTATACTAAGCTCTTGCTAGAAGAGCATGAGGGAAGTGACTGTTGTGTCACTGTGGTGTCTGTTGTGGCTGGTTTTTACTCTTTCCTCATGGGAAAAAGCATGTATTGCCTTTTTATTTTATTTTTTATTAAATTGGGTTTGTAACATGCACATTTTTAAAAGTTTATATTCATTAAAAGAAGGAGAAAGGAACATGGTTTTTCCTTGAAGCGAGAGGTGGGAGGGGACGGCAGAGGTTCTTTGCTCTTGCTGGACTTTGTTCCCCGCTCTGGGAGTGCCGGCTGCCTCGACATCAGACTGGTCTGGCCCTTGCTGACCCTGGTACGAAATCTTTTGAACTCAGTTGCTCGTTCTGGAGTTTTAGTTCAGCTGTGCAGGGCCCAGGTAACAATGTCCCTTTGAACACTGATTTGGAAATTGAGATTTTGAATATGACATGATCTTGTGTTGTGAGAGAAGACGGCAAAGATCAGATGAAGGATAAAATGCTCGCTGCATGGCCAACCTCGAGCTCTCGACCTGTGTTGGCTCCCCTCCCGCGCAAGGGTGAGGAGCCAGCCTTCTCTGGATGCTCAAATGTGGGGTCTCAAGTGTGCCCAGACTGTAACTGCAGGAGGGAGGAGGTGAGGTCCTGATCTGCCCTGTGCCCTGAACCGCCTGGCCTGCTGTGGGGTGTGCAGCATGTCCTTTTGCAGCCTGAGAAGGTGGCCTGGAGCTTTTGGTCATCCTCAGCCTCGCTCCCGCTGGGAGCGCCAGCTCTGCGGCACGTACCGCCACTCCATCCCTCGTTGTTATCTGCAAGCTATGTGCTTGCATGCCATGGATGTACAGTGGCGTGTTCTTGCATGGATAATGCCACCAAAGTGTAAGCTGATGGATGTCTTTACAGTTCATCAAATCAACCTTTAACAACTACTTTTTGGTCAGTGCGTTTGAAACTGTTCCCTGGTGATCTGCTCTTGAGAGTGATTGTACACGTGCTGGTGCTATGTGTTTCTTTATAAGCCTATGGATACACTGCCCTGACGTGAAGTCCTCGCTTCCTCTCGCCTGTCATAGGTTTCAGTTTGCCTAATTTAGGGGCAGTAATCTAAAAATGAGGGAGGCACAAAAGAAGAAGTAAAAGGATGAGAATAAATTACAATGGGATTACACTGAAGGTTTTTTTCCTCAGCCCAGTTGTATGGTTGTTGTGAATCATTCACAGCAATGCGCACAAGGACAGGAGACTGGGTGGCTCTCAAAGTTGGGAAGGGGTTGTAGTGTTCGTTCCAGTCAGGACGCGCAGTTCAAAAACAGCCCTTAAGTCTGTCACAAGCATCGCTCTCTGTGACACATCGGTTAATCTTACACACTTGATTTTTAGGGAACTGGGTCCACTGGGGCTAGTGGAGAGGTGTTGGCATTGCCTGATTTTTCCCTTTTGGAAGCATTTCAGGGAGGGAGGGAGACTGAGCCTGCTCAGAACTGGAGGGGCTTACGTCTTCTTGTTGACTGCAACGGCTGCTAGTTGAAGAGCCTCAGTGATGTGTTTAAAGTTAGGTGAGATGAATCCAGGCCCGAATTTCCCTCTTGTTCTTTTGGTGTGGATTTAGACACAAACTTGCAGCTGTGTCACTGTCATTGCTGTAGCTGTGACTGGTCTCCAGGGCTCTCCTTCTTTTATTTACTGCAGCTCAGAGGTCTTTTATTGAAATGTGAGATGAGAGCTGATGTGTGTGCATTTGTGTGTGCAAGGAGTTGGGTTTTGGACCCATCAGGGGATGCCATCAGTAAAAGTGTGCTGTGGATGTGTTTTTTCCCACAGATTAAAATAAAGGTACTGCAGAAGAGCAGGTTCCACATAAAGTTCTTGAGTTCTTGGGCTGGTGCCAGGTTTGCAGATTGCTCACGTCCTTTATATTCAGAACAGCAAAGGCCCTGAACTCCTACTGCCTGTAACTGGTGGGCTGGGTGACCAGCATCTGTGATTGTGCAGTCCTTATGTACCACTTTGTAGACAAGCTTGCATCCGTGCCTCTATTTCTCCAGTGTCCCAGGAGCCTTTGGCTCTGGGCTGCTCCTTGGCTTTGGTACAGAAAGAGCTGAACAATAAATCCTGGTGTACAACACTGCTAGAATTCAGGGACAAATGGATTTTTGGAGGTTGTTTAGGCCTAATTTAACTTCCCAAATGAGTTGCTTTGATGCTGGTGTGAAGAGAAGTTGGCCCATCAGGGCTTCTGCAGAACAGCTTCCTTAGAAGGCTCTGTGTTATGGTTGTTAGCTGGTCTTCTCTCCTTTCCACCTTTCTCCTTTGTCTCCTTTTTTTTAATGGGAATTTATGACTTGCCAAGTTCATTTCTTTAGAACAAACAGTTATAAATCCAGCTGTAAATGATGGCTTGTTCCAAATGTTGTTCTGCATGGGGCGAGATTGCTATAGGCTATAACTACATAGCCAAGGTCTGCTGTAAATTCCCTTGCCACACAGATTTATGTCAGCTGTGAAAATGCAGCACTGGGTGAATATGCCTGAAATATTTAGTGTTGAAGAGGCAGATCTTAAAGGGGAATTATTAACTCTTTCCACATCAGTTTCCTTGCAAACTCAGTGAATTTGCTGACCTTTGCCTTTCTCTTTCCCAAGTATGGCACGGTTCCTGCCTGCGCAGTCCGGAGAACTGTGTGAGACCTGTCCTGTGCTTGGCATTGACCCCTTTTCTGTGACTCCCAGGAGAAGGCTAGGGAAGAGCAGCCGCATCTGGCTATCCAAGGATACAGCAACTAGCTTCCCTAAGGTTTTTGTGTCAAACGTAAACATGTTGTCACCTGGAGCTTGTGCCACCTCTCCCTCCCCACCGCTGAACTGAGAGATCACCATGAATCTTTCAGTGTTGGCAGATGTCAGAACAGGAGCAAGGCACATCTGTCTTTATTCACAGGGACTTCACTTGGAGATAGGTTCAAACTCAAAAGTTTGAGGGTGTTTTTTTTTTTTTTTTCCTTCTCATTGTTATACACATTTGCAAAAATTCCAATAGGCGACTGAATCACAGATGTTTCAACATTCAAGATCTGGGGCTTTAGTGGGGTGACAAAAACTGTACTGACAAAATGCATGCCCTCACTCTTTTCCATGCTTTAAAATTGCCTTCTTTTACAATTTAAAATCAGGTGGCAAGTGACAAAAACTCACAACAGAACCCTCCAAAAGATTGCACAGTGCTGCTAGCTCGGAGGCAGTGAGTCTCGTCCCACTGCTCTGCTGTGCTGGGCACAGCTAAGAGCCCAGACGTTGCTCTGCGACTTTAAGTATTGGCATGCCTCAGATTCTGAATTTTAGGTGAGCTTTCCTTATCTGCCTCCTTTAATGATCCATGCAGCAGCGCAGGCTGGTTATAAAATTACTTGATCGCCCTATACAAAATTATCATCCCTGAGATCCAAATTCCATCTACAAACAAACTGAATTGCTTCTGAACAGTATCTGAATCATTTATTTAGCGTAACCTTGACATGAGGCTGGAAGTCCCCGGCTTCTCGCTGGAGGTCGTGCACAGCGCTGTCACCTCTGCAGTTCGATAGCTGTGACCGGGGACCCTCTCCCCGTGGAGGGAGCCGCCTTGTAGATGGGGCAAACCGAGCCTTATTGCACCTGCTCTCCTCTGACCTCTGTCTTGGCCCTTTCATAGAACAGCTTGTCCTCTGCCATGAAAGAAACTTCCTCTAAATGGCCATCGCCTGACACAGGGATCTGGAGCCGGGCGGTCAGCCTGCGTCGTTTCCAAAGGAACCGGTCCTCCATGGAAGGAGAAGGGAAACCTCCCCCGTAAGGTGGCTGGCGCGAAAGTGGTGGAAACAGGATGAGAGCGCAGGGGAGCAGATCCTTCTTTTGTTCGTATTATAAACGCTGGGCTGCTTGTCCTGTGGCCAATAGGTCCATCTAATATGCCGTGCAGAGAAGCATAGCCGTACTGCCTGCTGCCTTTTCTCTAACAGGCATTTAAAGCTACTCTGTCTTTAGGTATCTCTAGGCAGATGAAGTAATGGTTGGGTAAATTCGTTACATTTGTTAGCTTCCTTGTTTTTTTAAAAAAAAAAAAAAAAAAAAAAGGTTTTCCCACAAAAATCTGTGTAGATACTGATATTAATAATTAATTAACATTTTGTGCTGCTACAGCATTTCCAGATCTTGGAGCAATTTTTTCAAAGCGGAAGCTTTAAGGTAACTCTCCAGGAGGGAACAGCAAATGTGTAATAGCAGCTGCCAATATCATAAGAGTGAGAGGCAAAAGGTGAAGTGTCTGTTTGAAAAAGTGAAGGAGAAGGCTGTAATTACCAAAGCAGAAACTTAATTAGGATAGCAGGATCAATTCCTTGGTGCACACTCTCGAAATAATCATTAGGGACTTCCTTTTTATATCTCGCACAAAAAGGAGCACTTAACAGCACAGAGCTACTTAAAACCACTTTGGGATTTGGCTCTGTAGTGATGCATAAAGAAGTAGGTTGCCCACTTTATCAGCACCACTTCTGGTGACACCGCGACGTATCATAGCACTGCCCACCCGCGCTCCAGCCTCTCCAACAAACTGTGCAGGGCTTATCAAAATGATAAGATTGGAGTGCTGCCAACCAATCTAGGCAACAGTGTATAAATTACAGGAAGACCCCAAGTCAACAACCGGCAGCACAGGAAAAACTTAAAGCATATATGGCAATCAAGTACTGGGAAGTCAGTCGGTTTCACATCTCTGCCAAGATTTGACTTCAGAGATGTTACGAACGCCTCTGAGAGGGGGTGGTGCTGGTGCTGAGCAGGTACGTCTCACTAATAAGAGGAACTGCAGATCCGGTCCATAAGATCTCAGCAGGTAACTTAAGGATAAACTGGTATTAAATTTGTAAAATATGAATGGATGTGTGGAGTCATCTCACTTTTTTTCTTAGAGGTGAGGGAAATTCACCTCTGCAAAGCTCCAGCATGCAAATCCTATGCAGTATCTCAAGGCGATTTAAGTTTTGAGGGTCTAAATGAGAAATATGTCACACATCTCTTTGTGCGGTAGTTAATTTTATATTTACAGCTGTGAAATGCGAACTTTTCTCTCTGAATTTAGAGTGCTCCTGGGTAAGCTTTAAGGAAAGAAGAAATGTAAGAATTTCGAAGTCGGCTAAAATTTACTCTATTTTACAAAATGTAATTACCCCCACCCTCTTGTTTGCTTATAACCTCGGAAGAGTGAGCAGAAACAAATCTTCTCTTTCAGATAACGTATTGCTGCTGCAAGTGTTTGCCAACCGAGTGCGTTTTCTGAGTGGCCGAGCCGTGCAGGACGTCACGGACCGTCTATCAGGTATCGCCTGCTTCCACTCCTCTAGGCTTTCAAATTCAAAAGGCTCTTAGGAAATGGCAAATGTTTTGAGGAAATGCCCCTGAGTAGGCAGTGCAGAGCTCCCCAAACCGCGGGCGGACCTGGGTCCGGCCCTCCTAATGCCCTGTGGCTGGTGCAGTCCCTGCAAAACGCACCAAAAGCGTTGCTGTCGTAACCTCTGCCGGCACGGAGCTAAAGAAAGAGAGACTAAAATACCCTCCTCGTAGGACAGCAAAGGCCAGGGGCGTCTCTAAGGGTTCCCTTTTCTAAAGCAAATGCCCATCCTGTAGGAAAATGTATGATAACTGGTGCTCCTGAGGGTCAGTTTGTGTTGTCTTCAGGGCACAGTCGATCCTGGAGGACAGATTTTGTTTTCTTGTCGGAAGCTTTTTGAGGCTGAGTGCCGCAGAGCCTGCGGGTCGTAGCATAGGCGACAGCTCTGCAGAAGTAGAGCAGGCAAGGATAACAGGCAGGGCAGGACTGGGGGACAGAGGGGCAGAAACGGACAGTTCAGTCCTGGCCGTTTGGGCTCCCTGCCCGTACTGCAGATAAGGCATTGCACTCTGATTATTTCAGGATGTACAAACACAGTCTATTTCTGTATCAGCGCTGTCCTACACACTAAAAATGCAGCTGATAACAAGCTACTATTACAAGTCAATTATGTCCAGCAACAGCCAAGGAATGGAAAAAATGATAATCTCAATATAGACTGAAGACTATTTATAGCCTTGCTTTAATTTAGGTCTAAATCCACTGCTAATTATGCCAGCATCTTTTAATCCAAGGTTTAATACAGTTTGCTGCTTCATTATGCATCTCAACAGGGCATGTTTAGCCATGGTGAATATAAAAAGGCCCCTAAAGATAATTTGAATAAAGTAAATCTGCATGAATGTAGAATTTAATTTTACAGTTATTTTAATCTCTTTTTCAAATAAAGCGTTTGAACATAAATTGGAACTACTTTAGAGAGAGCAGATGTTCTCTCTGGGATTTAGCAGGAACAGAGAGCTCTTTCGCTTCCAAACTCCATAGTGACCACTGTGTTTAGTAGCATTAAAACTCAAATTAACTCCCATTTTAAAATAGAGACCACAACCCTTCGCTGCCTTATTTTCAGCTTTCAGCTGAAACAGCTTTCAGTGGCTGTTTAAATGTTGAGGACCGATGCTGGGTTAACAGGGTAGAGAAAATGTCGGTCCTTCCCCTACAGAACAGTATGTGTTTACTGCATAACTCTTCTACCGAACAGCAAATAGGAAGTCTGTCTCCAGACCATTTCAGATCTTGATCTCTCAGCAAAAACTACCGTGCAAGAAGGCTGTTGGCAGTAAATTTTTGTTTGCGTTTAATGTAATTATCTGTTCAGTTCAGAACAGGGTCTGAGAGCAGATCTTGGAGAGAATGAGAAGGGACACTTGTTTTTGGTTAAATTTCAGCCCCCTTTATAAGACTTTCTAGCTCTATTTCCCTATTTCAGGGAACATTGTGAGTGTAAGCGTCATTAAGGTTGAGATGCTCAGACGCCATGGCAATGGGGGCTGGGTAATTATCATCTTAGACATCCTGAAGTTTGAAACAGCTGCTCATTAGCAGCCAGAAGTATGAGAGAAATCTCAAATTAGACCATTCTGCCGAAGATATCAGTTAGTCACTGATGTTTCTAATAAGACTGTCAAGCATCACACATCTTTCGTGGGCTGGAGTGTTGAAATGTGGTATAATATTGCCATTTGCTATATGCCACTAAGCAAAGGGAACTGCCAGATTAGACTCGTGGCCTTTTTCCTCAAAGGTCACGAAAATGTAATCCTTCTTTTCATCAGAATTCTTTCAATTACCTTTTTTAAGCTGCATTTCAAAACTTTCTGCAGCTAGTTTAGAAGATGACCTGATGGAAACAAATAGAGATTTGACTTTTTTTTGGTCATTCATCATACAGAGGTAGTTAACAAAACAATTTGCGAAGTGTGCATGATTCACTTCAGTGAGTCCCCCCTTGGTGGATACGAAGCCTCTGAGCTGGGGGAATTAAGGTCCTCGGAGGTCAGCCCTTCCGTCCGGCGGCGGATGAGCGTTGCCGCCTGTGCCGAGATAATTGGGATCCCAGGCGGCAATGAGCCGGGAATCACCTTGCAAACCCCAGAAATAAAGGTTAGGGGCATGTCCATCTTCAGGCTCTTAAGAGGCTTGTGTCTCTGGCCGGCAGTACTGGTGGCGTCCGTGTCCCGGCGGAAGCGGCAGGCGGTGGAGCGCTACGTCCTACCCGTCCTCTGGCACTTCCTGGGCAGCATGATCGGGAACGGGGTCTTGCCCGGCCGTGGTGGGAACATCAGGAGCGCCGTCGCCCGGCTGGCCGGCAGTCTGTACGCCGAGATGGGCGCCAGCCTGGCCGAGCCAAATAAGCTTAAAAAAACAAAGCAAAACATATTTTTCAAAGGTTTTACTTCTTGAGCTTGTGTCCCCTGAGAAGCTTACGTAGGCACAAAAAGAAAAAATGGAGCGTAAATGCTGTTTGTAACTGTAAAAAAAGAAATTAATATATTTATATATTTTCTTAGAAAGTAAGAGATGGGCATGTGTACCTACTTAGCGAGTAAGAGATGGGCTGTGGAAGCGCTGGGTTTGGAGGGTTAGCTGGCTTGGCTCCGGGAGCAGAGGGTGAGAGACGCTGGCCTGGGATGCAAGGTAGGGTCAGGCGAGGAAGCGCAGCTCACCTCATTTGCCCGTGCATGCCATCGGGGCCGGGGGGGGGGGCCCTCTACACGTCCCTGGTAGCAGCGTTTTATTTCCATCCCGGGAAGGAAAAACGAATGGTTTGCTTTACATGTGGACCACTAAAGCACTTCTGAATGTCAGGTTCAGGAGGAAGGGATGTGCCAGTCCTTCACGGCTCGGTGGGAGTGTGGGGGACAAGGAGCAGAAAGCAACGGCATGAGGCACGCTGGACCCATGGAAGTAGAGTTAAGGGAAGGGTGACGGGTTGTTGGCAGATACGAGGGCCTTGTACGAGGTTGGGAGGCCAAGGAACACCGCAGGGAGATCTGCCCAGCCCAAGGGTTTTGGAGTCTTTGGTTATTTGCTCTATTTATTTTTTATGTCTCAAGCTAATATAGGACCCTAACTTGCCAGATATTATTGTTGCATTTTAGGCCATCTCTCAAAGGAATCTCATTGCCTCTTTGGTATAGTATAGAAAGGGTGAAATGAATAGACTCTTCTGGGGAGTTTGAGGTTGTTTCTTCTCTTTTCTTTTTTTTTTGTTTTGAATTCTCAATTTTTGTTAGCGAGGGCATTCAGAAACTCAGAATTTTCTGCCAAGTTTTGGAATTTGGTATCTTGAGAGGTTTTTCTGAAAGCTAACCAAAACCAGGAAAGGCCTGGTAGTGCACAGTGTTTCTGCAGGAGCGGCAGGGTTACGAGGGGTGTACTGGTTGGTACACAAAAAAGCTCAAGGTGAAACAGCTGAGCAAGTCAGAGGCTGGCTGAATTTTAAAAAGCAGACCTTGCACAGTGTCCGTTCAGAAAGGGGGGGGGGGGGGCGTCTCTCGAGGGCCTCCCGTTTCTGCCTCCTCTGCCTCAGGAGCAGTTCTTGCAGTCGTGCTCCTCTACAGACCTTTCCCTCTGGAGCCCTTTAGCTGCTGCTGGGCGCAGGCTGCTTTTGCTCTGCCGAGTGACTGCTCTTTGGTTTTGCTTCCTCTTTAGCTAGCTCCAGCCCTTGGGAACGCGGTGGGAGGTTTCTGCACTGAGGAGAAAAAGGCTGTTGTGCACATCAAAAGAAGCCTCCCAGAGCCTGTTTTTGTGTATTTAGTTGTAGCACTTGCAAAGTAGATTTAAAAGGTGACCCATGTAACTGGTTTCTTAACTCTATTTGCCTGGAGTGCTGCTTTCATGTATGTTGATCCACATAGTTGGAGAGAATAAAGCGTTGCCTGCCAGTACCTATTTTCTGCCTGGGTGTTTTTTTCCCCTTTGCAGCTGAGAGAGTTTCCCCAGGAGAGGGTTGCTCTTACCACAGAAGGATCAAATTTAGCTGACAAAGTGACCCTGCCTTCAATAAGGGGAAAGAACCACGGGGCTGAGTGGGGTAGGGGTTAATTCAGCTCAGGTGAGCTCTCCTGCCATGTCCTTGCACAGGTGCATGTGACAAGCTATTAGGAGGTTATTAAGGTTTTTGGAAGACACAAACAATAGTCGGAGCAATGTTGGGCCTTTTCCCAGCTCTGGTACAAGTGTCAATATTTCCTTTTTCTAAATCACTTTTATTTTAATTTTATTCCAGAAGTCCCACCAGAAAAAAAGACTGCGAGCTACACTTGCAAGGTCAGTTTAGTTCATTTACTCAGTGCGTTTGAAGTGCAGCATAGCTGTTAATCCCTAGGAGAAGTCAATACAGTGAAACAAATGTCAGGTAATCTCCTACGTTGGTTTATTCTGCATTGCATCCTGCCAGACCCTCAAGAAAGACCCTGGGTGTGACAGACAGTCTCCTCCTGCTTGCTGAAGGTAAGAGGTGTTGTGATAAAGGGCAAGGAGGGAGAAATTCATGATTTCCTCAAACAGGCATTTTCTTCTCACAAAAACTCAAAGCATGTGCCTGGTGACGCGGTTTGTCTGTGGTCCAGAGTGCTCGTGCCGTGCAAACGCATTAGCTGGACCTTGATGCCTCGAGCTCCTTCTGGAAATGCAACCACCCAACCTGAGTGACCTGCCATTGCCAAAGAGGTGGCCTTTTGGGATGGGGAGGGTGTGGAGAAGAGGAAGGCAAGTGGAGAGGGTGGCTGGGGAGGACGGGCAAGGAAATGGGGAAAATCTCGGAAATATGGGTAGGTGGGGGTATTGGAAGGGAAGGTTACTGAGTGGTGGTAAAGGAGGATGGGCCAATCTCTTCTCCGTGGGACAGGAGAGCAACAGGACAAGAGGCAACGGGCAGAAACTGAACCACAGGAAGTTCCATCTGAACCTGAGAAAAAACTTCTTCACTGTGAGGGTGACAGAGCATTGGAACAGGTTGCCCAGAGAGGTAGTGGAGTCTCCTTCGCTGGAGATATTCAAAACCCGCCTGGATGTGATCCTGGGCAGTATGCTCTAGGTGACCCTGCTTGAGCAGGGGGGTTGGACTAGATGATCTCCAGAGGTCCCTTCCAACCTAAACGATTTTGTGATCTAAAAGAAAGGAGGAACGCAAAGCATCTGCATGAGATGTGGAGGACTGGTGAGGGCATCTGCGGAGCGGGTGCCGAGAGTCTCCAGGACGGCATGTCGTGGCCATAATCGACCCATAGTTGTCTTGATGGGGTACGAGCACAACAGAGCGTGACAAAGGCCTGAGAAATAGGGCCCCTTTCTGGCCCCAAATGCCAGTGCAGAGGCTGAAGGCTTGTGCTGTAAATAATGCCAGTGCTGCCGCTTGATGCTGCTGAGAGAGGTGGAGCAGAGACGTAATAAATCCATATGAGGGAAACTGCTTTTGCACAGGTGGAACTAGGTCATAGAAGGTTTTAAAAAAAAAAAAAAAAAAAAAATGTGATTTTAGTAGAACTTACTCTGCGCCAAGGTTGTATGTGGGCTTGGGAACCAGCTGTGAAAGTCCTTCCCTCGCAAGCGGAGGGAGAGGTGCTGCAGCGAGGTGGCTGTTTTCATCCTTGTTAAACCATGATGCGGGGGGATAGGACTAGATGCTCTCCAGAGGTCCCTTCCAACCTCAGCTGCTCTGTGATTCTGTGATGGGAGTAAAAGTGGTGACATCCCTACCAAATCCCCGACAGCTGGCACTCAATCCTGATATGTGAGAGAGAGCCTTTGATATCAGCAGAGGTGAGAAAACCACTCCAGCTAAAATTAGGGTTGACCTGAACCTTTAAGCCTGTAACTCTGCCTTGATAATCTTTAGCTGGGAAAAAAAAAAAAAACCCAGTAACAGCATTTGGCAAACCAACTCCCCCCACCTATCCTTAAAAGCCCCATAAGGTGTTTGAGCGCAATTGGCAGTGGTAAAGGAGCTTGTAGAGCCCTCTCTGTGCTAATTGCTGTGCCCTGGGTAAACGAAGGCTGTACTTTCACAGCTGATTAGCACATTTCACTGCTGCTGCTTTCCAGACCAGAAAGTAAAGATTTTGTCCGCGTCGGAGACGGGGGTGAAAGCTGCAGGCTGTTCGGGTTTGTCTCTCCCTGCTGCTGTGTCCCCTATATGCATGCGTCTGTGCATTGAGACACTTCTCTACACCCTTGTTCTCCTCTGTTTGTGCCTTCCGTGCATATAATCTTTCAGGCTGCAAAACCGCTTAGTGGTGATGCAGCTCTGTCAGTGCAAATGCTTTAATGCCGGTACAAGTTATTTCAATGCAGGAAGGGGAATTGGCTATACTAATGAGAGGACCTTTACGTGGATATGACTGTGCCAATATTAGGATCTTTATTGCTTTGACCATTGCATTATTATTGTTATTGTGTTATTATATTATATTAAGATTTTTTTTTTTTTTGTAAACCTACAGATTGCAGTTTGGCTAAAACCTTCCTTTGTGCAGTTTCAGTCAGGTCGATAAATCCGAGCCGCTCTATCCTTGCCTCACAGCCCCTCGTCTCCTCTTCCTCTCTCTCTTTTGCCAAGGCTTCTTTGTGTCATCTGTTACTCTTCATTATTTAGTATTATGACAGTGTCAGTTTATGTGTCTGGGACATGGGGCACCTGAAAGGCCCTGTATAGCGTAAAGTTTTCTAACTAGAGAGCCCGTGTTCACAATAGACCTGAACAAAGAAAACTTGGCCTGAATCACAAAGCTTTGCACATTTGTGGTCTTGATTTTATACAAAACAGCAAAAGATGCACTGTTTTTCATGTGCGTGTGTATACATGTGTGTATGTGTTTGTGTGTGTGTATATATGTTTCTCAAATCTATTTATATCCACAGCCTGAGTGACCGTTCAGCCTGGGGCTACGTGAGAATTTATTGACATAAGCCAATGCCTCCCAGTGTAACAAACTGCTGGGTGGCTGGAACAACCACTTTTGGGTTTGACTCGGACTGTTGATGGATTATGTGATCATTGAGAATGCTACCTTTTATATATATATTTATATATATATATATATTTAGCAGTTTCATTTCATAATCATTTGAGTCTTTACTTTACTTTGAATCTGTACTTACATTTTAATTTGTAGCTGCCATTATTCCTCTGCCTTGGGGAAAAACACTTCACAGCCCAGTGCCAACCATAACATTTGGACAGTAAAGTCTGCAATGTTGCCAGTTTCTGGTGTTCTAGAAGAAAATGTATGTGTGATGTGTTAATTAGTAGACTTTCTGAAGGAAAAAAAAATCTCTTTTATGCGGCTGTGTATACTTTCTCAGTTATGGATCTAATCCTGGTCCCTGCATAAAGCCCAAGTGGGGCAGGATGTTCCAGGGAAGAATAAAATCTGTTTCAGTCTATGAGCTTATATGGT